TTATTTTTCCCCGCGCTAACAATGGCCGCTCGCGCGTAAAAAAAATTTCTGGCGAAGTCGGATTTGCTGACGCTATCAGCGTGCACTATCGGGATTTTGAGCACGCTTGCGTATAATGAATTTGATTGCGCGACTCTGCTAGCTATGTTCTAATGCTTTTCAAACATCAAATATTGAAATAAAAACTGAATAAAAACAAGTGATTTTTTGTCAGTTATCAACCACTGATTAAGTAATTATGGGGATCAAGTTCCACAAATCAAAGTTAAATCAACTAAATGTGCTATTTGAAACTTAAATGATTCTGTACACACACGTATATATTTTCCGAATAACTTTAAAACGAACATACATGCAAATTGGATACTTTATAAAGTGATAATTGATGAGGTAACTTCCAAAAAAAATCAACATAAAGGAAAAACATTGAAAAATTAAACAATGCTTATTAAATTACTAAAAATATATTTGCTATAACTTCATTTTCACTTACCCAAAAGTACCACCTTAAACCACAGAGGTCGGATTCTGTCGTACGATCTCATTTGTAACTATCAAGTATTAACACCAAGCCTTTCAAAATACAATAACATAGTGACTTTGTGAGCAACTCTGTGAGCTGTTGTTGTATAATAAACTTCAGGAATCCTTCTTCTTCCTGATTAATTATCACACAACTGTGGTTTGAGGTAATTAGCGTGGGTTATCTCGTCGATTTGATAAGGGCAATTAAGCTGCTTTGTCACAAAAAAATTAGGAAAAATTTTATGACGGATTTGGAAAAGTATTTTCGATTGTTGTAATTGTCACTGGGAAGTAACGTCATTAGTGCCAATAGTAATGTAATGTTATGTGTTATACTGTAGTTGAATTAAACTAGTTTGATATATCTCTTTTTATCAATTAATTATAAAGAAGTATTGGGAACAAAAGTCTCCACAAAAAAACAAATAAGTTTGAAACCATTTTGACCTGAAATTCGTTTCAAACTACTCAGTTCAAATAGATTTCCTTAATAATTACTCTATACAAGCTTGAAAAAACAGTGTGTTTGACCCATTCACAAAGGCAATTTTTTCTGCTTCACTCCATGCCTGCTAACAAGTTAATTACAAACACAAGCCTAGCAGCTCATTTTCTCAGAAGATAGAGCCTACTCCCTCATTGGTTGATGGTGTATCTAGACTACAGCATGTAAACATGTCTGTGATATATCATACTTTCTGTGTTTCCCACAAACGTTTTATAAATGCAATGCTGAGGACTTTTTACCGTGTCTCAAGAAAATAAACAAAGAAACTTTAAGGGAGAACCTCCTTTCCACCCCACATTACTTTCCAGCGAGTAAATCATTTCTCATTTACCTTGATTGAATATATATTAATTATGTCGTAACACTTTTACATAAATGGGTTTGAATTAAATAATTAATATGAAAGGAATGCTGACTTCCTGCAATTAATAGAATTAACAACTCATTGTACATGGACTAGATGCAAAACAAGAAGGAATGGTTCTGTTGTCTAAACTTCAAAAGGAGCCCTTTCCTGACCTACACAAATTATAGGCATAATTTCCCTAATCCTTATTATTTCATTACCATTAGCGAGTCTTCACCACATGTAACAAAGAAAGCAATGCAGAACTACATGCCAAATTTACATTATGTGACTGATAAAAACAGCATTCATCATTATTAAGTTAATCACTAAAAGAAACTAGTTTTCAGTTTGATTTTGCAGGTGTCTTAAGAAAAGTCTCTCGTAAAATTTACAATGGTTGTCCTTAATTAAAAGACGATTTTCTGTGTCATGCTATCATGGGCGCAAGTCACAGCAATAACTTAGATTACAGAGGGATTTTATCCTGCAAGTTCATCTACCTCAATGTTTCCTGGGATGGAGAGAGAGCTGATTGATGACAGCCATTAAACAATGGTCAGGTTCATATCTGCAGGTGTGGACAACAAAGTAGTCAGCAACTAGTTATGGGTATATGTCTTATTTCTTCTGTATTTCTTCCATCAAATCGTATCCCATGTCCCAGCCACTTAGTTCAACGAGCATCGGCCTTTACAAGAGACTGAGCTCTGTCTATTTATAATAATGACATAACTTAGACACATTACATGCACCCTGATTGATCAAAAATCTATCATTTTTTAATCCTGGTAACTACATATAGAACACTGAAAAATTTCCCTGTCTGGAGAAATGGCACCACACTGGACGATCACTTTCTTAAAAGAAAATGTTATGATTCCATTAATAGGTTAATTTTTTCATTCAGCACAGGTACCAAGTCATAATTAACAGTCAACAGATAAGTCTTTATAAGGCAACATTTTCGCAGAGCCCCCTACTGTCGGCCGTTTTTCAGGAGTTTTCCTTCACAATTAGCCAGTTCTTGGATAAAGAAAACAATAGCATAACAATAGATTGCCTTTTGACTGCACTACAGCTTTGTTTTTATTAGAATAGTATGAGGTTATACAGAAGTCTTTCCAGTGTTTGATATTATCATTTTGATCAGTCTTCAAATGTGTCGTGTAAAAGACTCTTTTTTTCACTTAATTACATGGTAACCTGTAGATTGCATGGTTGGCAGCTAGGTCTTTAGATTGCATGGTTGAGAGTAAATAAATCTTTGTATTGCATGGTTAGCAACTAGATCTTTATATTGCATGGTTGGTGACCACATCTTTAGATTGCATGGTTGGCAACTACAGCTTTAAATTACAGATGGTTGGCAAGTAGATCTATGGATTGTATGGTCGGCTACTCTATTCAGTTTCACTGCATGATTGGCAACTAGATCTTATTGACAAGGGTAAAGAATGCCTTCTGATGTTAATACATCATAACTTTTACCAAGGAGAGAGTGCTAAGGTTAGATCTCAGAAACTGAGCCAGTGCACTTGACTGGACTTGTATGAGTGCTTCCATAGACCATAGATTCATTTCCAAGCAACTCCTAATGCATTAACTTGATTAGGGCTCACAGAAGGTGATACATTGTATCTCTGTGACTAGTAAGTGTGCAGTCAGTCCTATCGAAACAAAAGAGGTGTTGGAGAACTTTTAAGACAACTGGCTAATGAATAATTTCTTTGAATTACAACAACACCATGTTCTTTTTATTTATGCTCTTAAGACTTTTCGAGGTATTGTAGATTTCTTCGGAAGGAAAGCTGATGATTCACAACTTAACTAAATAATTTAATACGAAATTTTTCTCTGAGGGTCCCAAAAAAAAAAACACTTGCCGGCACTGTACATAGAGATGCACGTATTAGAATTTAAAAAAGTCCGCGTCAGGCCAGTAGCCCAGACAGCCTAATTTTTCTCTGAGGGTCCCAAAAAAAAAACACCTACCGGCACTGTTCATGGAGATGTACGTATTAGAATTAAAAAAAGTCCGCGTCAGGCCAGTAGCCCATACAGCCTAAGCGACGAAATATTTTTACTCTCCCTTCCGTCTGGATGCTAGTCCATCACATGGTTACTCCCCGTTTTAAATTCGCCTCCACCCATTTACACACCTGTAGGATGTTTAGGGCCCCATGACCATTAGGCCGCTACGCTTTTCCAGCCGGAACCATCGCAGAAGATTGAACAAATGCAATATTGCCAATTAGTTAAAAGGTCCGAACCATTACTAATTAATACTCTATCTTGAATAATTGTTAACCACACATTGGGAGCTATCATTAAGACCAGCTGTCTACAGTTAAAATTGAGACATCGTTAGTTACTCGACACCTTTTCACGATTATTATATATACCTTGAATATATACCTTTGAATATGAACCTTGTACTAATGAATTCTTCTAAACAATCTCCATGAACAGTCTCGGTAAGTGGTTTTTTTTTTGGGACCCTCAGAGAAAAATTTCGTCTTAAATTATTTAATTAAGTTGTGAATTTACCATCAATTTTTAATCATCGATATTCTTATCTGTTTATTGATTTACTTTTATGTTAAAATTTTTTTTTTCGGTCATTCCGGGAATTCCGGGTATTCCGAATATTCCGGTTCCAAATTCTGGCATTCTATATTTTCCAACCTACCGATTTTTTCTGCGGTTTTGCGGTTTCTAATAGGCTCTAATACTCCCCTCCTAAAAGCATGCCGACATGGTGGACCTCAATGGCCTTGTATTCTGTAGTTGCTCCAAATTATTATATACCGACGAGGAACTGCCAAGCGTTCTCGGGGAGATTGATAACTTTCATCTATAACGCTCAGTTTACGCGCCTGGCCATGGGCTAAGTGTCAACGGGCGTCCATGAATTCATTCCAACTTCAACTTGTATCACAAAGGGAAGGATGTGCTCGTCAGGAATCTGTCATCTGTTGAGAAAAATATACATGATCAACTTTAAAAATGAAAGTGTCACCATCTGTCATCACAAGAGGGACGAGACAAGATAAATAACTTCATATTTCTTTGAAATTTTCGCTATTTCCTGCTTTCTTTCAAAGACATAAAATTTCCCGTCACTCAAACTGAAAATTCCCTGACTTTTCCCACGCCTTGAAGTAAATCATTTTGGCCTGATTTTTTCTGACCGGTGACAACCATACTTTACATCATGCTGGAAACGAAACACTACTGATTTCTGTTTGAAATAGCTTCTTGTTGACAAAAAAAAAAAATGAAGGACAGGCGCCATCAGGTTTCAATCCCATAGTACACAAAGTCCTCGTGTTCGAAATGTTCAGAGCACACTTTGGTACCAAATGTTACTCTTACTTCTTTAATTTCATCTTATTCTATTCTTTCAGTCCATATCTGTTTTAAAAGAAACTGAAAACAGCCATGACATTTAGAAATCGCGACTTGACTTGATTATTTTTCCGGGTTTCTGACCCTCTGCTCATACAGATTAAAACGCAAATTTGTGCGACTAGAAGTTGAAGAAATATAGCATGGATACTTAATTTCTGAAGCTTAGAATCGTCAGGGTATTTATGAAAAGAAAAGTCCGAATTTTTGGAAATATTGCGACAGTCACAGACCCAACGAAAGTGAAATACAGTATTCCCTACTCTAACCGCTTCCGTTAAAGATAAATCATCATCATCATCATCATCATCATCATAAACTTTATTTCATCTCGAATTTTAGAGTAGCTTGTTGGAGCTATTATCTTCGAGAAAACATAAAAT